CTCAAAACTGTGATCGCTTGGCTTTGGCGTAATCCGCGCATTAGGTGCCACGTTGCGAAGGGCTTGCTTATAGCTGTTGACCACCTGGCTGCCAACTTGCCGCTTCGGGCATCCCTGTATTTGGTTGTGGAGATGGTGAATATTTCGTGGGCGGCGGTGACAGCTACATGCACGTGAAACTGTTTTCGCGAGGCCGACTTCGTCGACGTCTGGCCCGATGCCGAGCCTGAAGCTTCTGAACAGGATGTCTCCGGTGGCGATTTGTGGCAGCGCGCCGTTGACTCCGACATGGGAGAGCGGGCCGAACATCTGTTGCGATAGTTTTATTACGGCCGATGATGATGCCGACACCACCCAACCGTGCACGGATTAGGGCATTGTGAATGAAGTACGTGGCAAGAGCGATTAGGAGGAATCAAATTGCGAGAACGACGAAACTTTGGAGCCAGTCCCTCATGCAGCTTATGCCACAGGCCTCGACGAACAAGCACGCTGCTGTTTGAAATAAACTAGAGACCGCCCTTATCACTTCTGCCCTTTGAAACACGTGCAGCACAGACTTTTTTTGGCAAAAGACGTTTGTGTTTTCACTCTCAACTTTTTTAAAAGCTGTCTTTCATTTACTACGAACCTCGGGATGCAACGAACGGATGCTGCATCAGGCCCAGGTTCGTTATAAGAGGACTCGACTGTATTTATCGCTTAATACTTCTGTGACTGTGAAAAAATCTGTTGTTTCTGGGCAGTCCGGGGGAAATACTGTTTTCTTGCCACAGAAATTGATTGAGGTTAAAGTGTAGGGTATCAAATGATAGAGAAAGAATTTGTGTTTTCAAAAGTATTAATTCCAAAAAGCAACACTTTTTGAACATGGTCAGAAAACGCTGCCGATCGGTAGTAGAGGCTCCCGACAACACGCGAGCCAAATATTATAGCACAGCACGTGGCCTGGAATTCACATTAAATTATCAAACTCGGCTACAAATTCCTTCCTCTTCTCTCGACAAATCACGTTATATGCCCAAAAATCACACGTCAACGGCCCATCTATCGGCCATTGGCCGAGATCGCCGCGGGAGGCCGCTACTTGTCCACGTGCGCACGTGCAATCACACTGAAAAAGCCGCGCATTCGAAAAAAAAAAGTGCTCTAGGTTGCGAAGCATGCATGTCGTTTTTCGGTGGCCCTGCCATCCCTTCCAGGTTAGCTTCCAGCACTGAGAGTGCAAGTGCAGCATTCCGCAAACCTTTGTAACTCCACTAGCACTGAACGTATTCTTGAAATTTTTGTGCCATATAATTCGTGTGGCAATGAGCTTTTTCAGTAAATTCATTCTATGGTTACTTGAAAAAGTGTTTCAGGGCCCCTTTAATGAAAAATATGAAAGCAAAGAAAAATGTCTCAATGAAATAAAATTATGCTGGATATGTTTGCATCAATGCTCGGCAGTGATGAAACGGCCCAAGAAAAAAGCGAAACTGGTCCGTGTCTGTGCTGTCGCCACCATCGAGGAATTCCCACACAGATTCATCGGAATCCGTCGAAATTTTTCGTTCCCATGGAGCACCTGTGAGCGATGTCAACGTTGTAATCAAAACCACAAGCGCTCACCTCCCTGATTGTGAAGAAGCTTTAAAAATCCTCTCGCGGCTGAAAAATGACAATCAGTAGTAACACTTATAAAATACTTACTCCTTTTTCATTTTGATGGTGTGGGCCCAAAAGTGCTCAGAAAGTTTAACTCTTTAATTACTCGAATTAGGTCTCTGTTGCCTTATATACTGTGCTGGGACCAAAGTGCCATGATATTTAAAGAAGTGTCTGTTAGTGGTCTGTGCAATTGTTGCCATGCTTTACGAAAAGCATTCAAGTTATTATAAAGGTATCGTAGAGCTATGCCTTCCCCTCCCTACGGCGGATAAGGGTTGTGTAGCTGTACGAAAATTTGTAACCAGCTGCAATGGATGCTCTAGCCCCTGTAACTTCCTTATTATAGCACGCATAAGCAAAATTCTTGCAGCAGCATTTTCACGTAACAAATATGCGCATATTTCTCTTCGTTAAATATTTGCACCTCTGGATTGTTGACTGGCCCTTTAAAATGATGTTGCGAAAAAAGGCGGCACGCTGCTCGCTGAGTTATAGGTGATCTGTGGAGGCCGAAAAGAGTAGTCCACAAAGTGGATATGTCGAGAATGGTGCCCGAAATCGCTGCTTTGCGCGCACTCGGGTCAGGTGGAGAGAGCATTACTCGGTGAGGTCACACGATAGAATAGGAGCGATTGGGAGGCTTTGCCATCAGCAGTGGTGTGTGGGAGAGCATGAACGCCCTTAACCCGGGGTTATTGTGGTCTGGCATCAAGAATGAACTGGCGACATGGCGATAAACTATCATCGCGGGTCCTGAGGGCTCTCTTGTGCCAGAAACTGCCAACGAACATGCCCAGGACCCACGAGCAACCAATGGAGTATAGCGGACTATCCCTCTACGTCAGGTTTATGCATTATTGCCAGTGTAGCAATGAAGTATTTGTTGACCCAGCCTGTTGCCTTATTCGCCTGAACCCATCATAGCTGCGATTGCTCGCGCTATGGGAAGGAGACGTTGGCACGTGCACAATATGACTGCGCACCTGAAAACAGCCTGAATGGCACTGACAACGATATGTTTTTTCGACATTGACGAAGATGAGCAGTAATGATGAATGATCGGGCAAGCTCGTAGTTATTGCATTTTCTAATGGTTGCAAGATAAAGCTCTGCAGGCAGCGAGGTTTTGATTGCTGTTTGCAGTTTCATCACTTTGTCTTTTAATCGTAACATATATACTTTGTCCTTTTTCCTTGAGACCGAAAGTACCTCCCTCCTGTTATACGTATTCGCAGCAGTAAAATGCGGTATTAAACTTGCATAAAGTCTATCTGCATCATTGCTTCTTTTTTCTTCTATGACCAACTTGCTTGTGATCATGAACTATGTGGGTGACGACTAGCATTACTCCTGTTAAACCTACTAGGCCTAATCCGGACACACCATGGGCACACCATAGGTCGCACCACCTACTGGTGAAAAATAGGCTTGTGTGAATATTCAAATGCTTCGAATACTCGAACGAATAGTTGAGTTTGTGGGAATTGAGGCCGGCTCGCTGCCTTTGCGCTGGCTTTGCCACCTCTTTCTCCGTTCTCATGTCCCGACATGTCTCCCCTCCTCCGCTGTCTGCTGCGGTGGGAGAGCGGAGCGACGTTGAACCCCCTCACCCGGTAGTGGATGTTGACTGTGACGCCGCACGCAGTCTCCAGAGAGGCTTTGCGCGTGCGCGTCGGGAGTAGAGAGAGGCCTCTCCGGGGACGACATGGGGGTAAGCACGCTTTTCTTTTCCGTCCGTCAGCTCCCTGTGGGGCTCGTTCGAACTTCGCCAACAGTGCCTTGCGCCCGCGGCGAACGCTTACCTTATGTTGCCCCCCCTCCCTCCTTTGGAACGCTAGGCCGAAGGGTGGTATGGTGTCCTAGTGCGTGGCCTAGCTACGCCGACCCGTCTCCCTCAGAAACCAACGCGAGCGCCTTTGCCCTCGCTCGAGCAACCGGGCCTTAGTCCCGGTGTCTCCGTGGATCACCTTTACCACAGAAACCTGCTCGTGGCACCCTGTGTAGTACTTTTACGCCTGCAGGCGTGGGTAAGCCCATTTGCTTTCCAGTTGCGCCTTTGCAACGGGCTGTACTGCGTTTGGTGTTGCCACAGACAGTAAAGTGTTGCTACTTTGAGCAGTATCGTGTTCTCGCCACGGCGATGGTTAACGCTTGCCCTGCGGCTCGCTAAGACCGGACCCACGCTAGTGGCCGTACTCCTTCGGGATACGTGTCACTACAAGTTGAATAGTTAAATATTCGACAAAAAAAAAAAAAAAAGAGGTGCTCAAGATCATGAGGTGCATGTGCAGTATTTTCTTTGGCCGTGCCATTCCTCCCTGCTTAGCTTCCAGCTATTTCGTCGGGACGAGAAGAGTGAATGCAGTTGTAGCGTGCGACAAATTTTTGGAACTTCGCTAATATTGGACTGATTTTAGAAACTTTGCGGCAGTAATCTTGTGAGGCAAAAAGCGTGTTTACTGGCTCCATGGCTTCTTAAAAAAGTGTTGCAGGGCCCTTTAAAGGAACATGTTACCCTCAAATCAATTCATTTCATTAAGCTTGTTAAGACAGCTTATATGATCCAAGTATAATAAATCTTAAAGCATGAAGTATCTTATAGGTTATCACTCGCATCCTACCAAAACTACAACTCAAGGTTGTTTCTACATCCTCTGAATGAAAAAAAAAAAATGGCATTTGCATAGAGCCCCTATTTCAATTCAAAATAAATATTGTGCAGGTTAGTTGAGTCGAGATAAATATTCCCTTTTTTTTTGATAGCTCATACATACCATTCCAATTATTCGATCAAAATCACTATTTGCTTCGAATTCGCTTCGAACCAAAAATTCACTATTCGCACAAGCCTAGTGAGAAACAAGCTAGTAATAAATGGCACATTTATGATGCTCAAGCCCTCTAGTGATGCTGCATTGATGAAAAGAGCAGTGTGTTTTACGCTTGCAGCTTGTGCTTTGCAGTTTTTAATGCTGCCATAAAGATTTGGCTTTTTTAAAATCATATATTGAAGGACTGTCAATGTCAATTTGCACTATGTTTGCCCCATTGAGTTTGTTGTTGTTACACATAAGTTTGTACAGTAGTGGAAATATATGTCACCCCTGTTAGAGCCAAATTACCTGCAGTATTTTTAAACATTGGACAGGCTAACCAACTGATGGCTAGATTGATTGTTGAATTTTTGCACAGTCGTGACGCTTCATGATGTTACTGTCGACTCTGGAGCCAGTATCCAGTAAAGCTAAGAGAGTGTGAGACAGAAGTTCTGGGTATTTCTCAAGGAGTGCATTGCTTTATTTGTATTTTTAGTCGTGTTTGTTTCACTATCACTTTTGTCTTATCAATAGCTAACAAAAGCAGTACATCCAAGCCGACCACTGGACCTCTGGATGGCCCTAGCAAAGGTGGCGAATCTCAAGTCTCCAAGTTTCCACCGACACGCAGCTTCTTCAACGAAGAGTTCTGCTACATCATGGATGCAAAGAATTGTGGCAATATCGGCCGCTATCTGAACGTGAGTAGAAACAATTGTACACATTGGCAATCGTATTCTTCACTGAGCATGTGCCTACAGTGGACTACATGAAAACGAAATGGGCATGCTGCCGCTCCTGCTGTCAGCTCTATGTTGACATTTTGTAGTGCTTGTGCAGATTGATTCAAGCAGATCAATTGCTTGACTCCCAATGGGCTTCACGTATTAAAATTCGCACACATCATTGACTGTAGTTCCAAAGGTCTGTTTGTTGTGGTTGCATGTATAGGCGTAGAAAAAGGTATTAGACCGCATTTTCGTGCTTTTTGGTGCTAAAGTTCACTAGTGATTCTGCATTGCAAAATGTAGAACCCCTTGCCTTTTTTTTTGAAGTCATATATCGAAGCACTTAGAATTGCACAATTTTAAGGGGGCAGACTGGTCTTAGACATGTTTATACTGCACAGGATTATGCAGTTTTTCTGCTGATTTCAAATTTTAATTAGTTTTCCTGTAACTCAACTTGTTCCTGAGATAACTTAAGTTCACCACCCATTGTTTAAGGCCGCCATGGAGAAAAAAGTGCTTAATTAAATGTGATATTTAAGATATCCCAACATAGACTAATGACTATAGATTGAAATAATACAAGAGTTTTTGTTTTGGTGCCTTTCTTGGTTATTTTATAGTAAAATGAACTATCGATTTTCAAAAGCAATTGGAATTGTATTACAATTTTGATGAGTAATTAATTAAAAAGGCTTGTTATCTAAATTCTGCTCCCATACTTGCACTCTACACATATACAGGTTGCCATTGCAAAAAGAATTACTGTTGTACCTACCCTAGCTGGAGAGATATCAAGGCCTCGAAATTGAACAGTCCTAAATTTACTTTTTTGAGAAAAACAGAAAAAACTGAAAACACGCAGCTTCTTCAAAAAGCAACAATCATGGTGCGCTTGTTTTGTGATCCTCATAAAGGTGCTCATAAATTCGTAGCAGAGCTTCTAACACAGGTGCCGGCGAATTATAAGGAGGCCTCGGAATCAGTTCCCCATTTTTTGCAGGTTCTGCATGTTAACAGCACCAAGAATCTGGACAGTTAGAATTAATGACATTACAAAAAAAATTACCACTTCCTGGTGTGTAAAAATTTACAGAGAGATAGCAAAATACTTGCAGAAACCAAATATGTCAATTATAAAAAATGATTTTTTTGTCACTTTTTGGTCCCGAACACCAGTCTGCCCCCTTGAACTGCAAATCATAATTGCTGTGAATGATCATAGATTCACTCGATGATGTCACATTTGTTGCACAAGTTGTGCCAAATCACCTCATTGTGATGTTCTTATTGATTGGCTTTAGCCAAGAATCTTTTCTAGATCTAGTCAGGATTCTTTTAAACATATTTCGTATAGAAAATTCAATGCATAATGTTCTGATATTTCTAGAAAATTAACATGTGCAAGGGTTAGACAGATGGCAGAAGTTACTTTAGAAAGTTCAGTTTTGTTTCGCAGTGGCTGGACATTCAGTTTCCGCTATAACACATTTCTTTATTCTTTCCTTTCTTACAGCATAGCTGTTCACCAAATGTTTACGTCCAAAATGTGTTTGTTGACACCCATGACTTGAGGTTTCCGTGGGTGGCATTCTTTGCAGCCAGGTGAGCACTCCTACGCACGTTTCTTTCATAGTTTCACCCCGATACAAATGGCTCCTGATAGATGTTTTCTGTGGCTCAGCGGCACTGTCAGGTGTCGTTTGAAAGCAGTAACATTAAAGAACTCGGTTTCGCAATAATCTCAGTATCGTCGTCATTGGTTCTGACGGGAAAACTTGGCACTGTCTGTGAGCAAAAATTTGAGAAAGGTGCAGATGAACGAATAATTATAAAATTTAGGTTCAAGTGGACATTCAGCGTAGGGAGTTTTGCTCGGCAAGCAGGTGTTCCATCACAGTGCAATGCTTTTGCTCAATATAGCTCTGAGAAAAAAAAAAACACCTATATGAATGTTCTGTAGAAAAGAAGTGTAAATTTAAGGTCTCATTTTTTTGTTAGACACAATATTAATGAAAACTATTAGACAATGATACCAAGATCTCGTTGTAGTTATTGTACAGTGGAACCTCATTCATACGTTTATCAGTGCGCCGGGTAGAAATAACGTAACAGCTGAGAAAACGCAAGAGTGAGGAAAGCTGGGAAAATGAATAGGAGCACAGGTGCTTTGACTAGGAACAATTTATTTCGACAAGGTGAGCCTAAGACTTAATATATTCGAAGATAGTTGACTGCCGCTTCTTACACTCAATGGTAAGCACGCATTTCTCAATAATTTGGAAGGCCACATTGCTTTCAGCATCGCTTTGGTGCGCGACGTACCTGCAAAGGTTGTCCAGCGCCACGACGGCTTCTCTAAAGTTGGGATCGGCAGACTCCACTGCCAACTTTTCAGAATCGTGTGGCTCATGCTCACTGTTGTCATTGAATGTCCCCGTCCTCTGTTCCGATCCAGTTTGCAACTATCTTTGCGATTGTCTGGCACTCCGATGTCACAACGGCAGCATTCAGAGCAACGTACCTAGTCGTTAAACGTCGTATCCATGGCACCCAGTGCATTCATTGCTCATTGAGCTCTTGTTCACAAGAGGCTGCTTCGGATTGTTGAGCTTCGATGGCAGGCTCCTCTTCGCTGTCCATGCAGAACCCACACCTCGCAAGTTAGTGCTCTACAGTTGACGCACTCACTGCACTCTGGGCTGATGCGACGTAATGTATGGCGTCGAGTACGGGAATCGTTGTAGGCTGCTGTCCACGAGCAATACGCGTGAGACAGCGCTTGACGATGCTTTTTCTGTATGAATGCTTTACACTTTTTATGACCTTGGCGTTCAATGGCTGCAAGTGGCTTGTCGTATTTGGTGGGAAAAAAAAAAAATCGATGTTTTGTAAAAAAAAAGCAGATTTTTTGGGTAGGGCTGCACAATTGTCGAGAAAAAGAACCCTCCTGCACTGTGGACCCATCTTATTATCGAAGTATTGAAGAAACTCTTCAAACAAAGAAAGCGCACGTCATTGCAGTATGACTGTTACTTTTGTAGTGGCATGGCAGCAGGCAAATGTTCTTCAAGCATCGCTGGGTTTTTTTAACTTGTCGATCACTCGCAGCCTAAGTTCGTCCGAGCCGCCCATATTGCAGCAAAGGAGCACCGTCAGCCAGTTTTTGCTGCATTTGCTTCTGTAGGACGCTTCGTCCGTGAGGCTTAACGATTTTGATGGCTGTACTCAAAAGAAGAGGCCGGTTTCGTCAACTTTGTAAATGTTGTAACCTTCAAATGTAACCTTCAAACGTTGTAACCCTCAATTAAAGCAGATAATGCAGACTTCTAATCATGGGCTGTCTCCACGTTCACACTTGCCGCTTCTCCGCTTACCATTTTACAAGCAATGCTGTGCCTCCTTGCGGAAACAGTCGATCCAGTCGTTTGATGCCACAAAACCAGCGACTGCCCAAGTCTGTTGGCTATTTCCATCGCCTTCTCCTGTATAATGCTGCCGTCGAAGTTGATACTGGCAGCACGAGTTTGCTTGAACCAGGTGAGAAGAGCCTCGTCAAGGTTCCCGTGGTTGGAGCCACGAGCTTGCTTGGCTTTCGGGCCAAAGAGAGTGGCATTCCCTTCAATCTTGGCATGCTTCGAGACTGATGCTGTTGGGCGTTGACGGTGGCAGTTCATGTTCTCTGGCAATGTCGACCCTTCTTTGCGCTGGCTGCTTGTCAATTGTTTTAAGTACGCCCAGCTTTTCTCAAGGGAAAGCACTTCCCTCTTACGCGATGCCATTAGGGCTTGACAAAGATTGCGTTGACGAGTTCAACGTTAACAGGCATAGCGCACACAACAGTGACTGAAGACGAGTCACAATGTGCGGCGTGTGGTGGTGGGACTGTCGCGCACTTCCAGCATTCTGTAGTGAAACAACCATTGTAAGCACAGTGATGATGGTGATAGCACTTTTCACAAATTGTCATCTAGGGGCAGGCTGTCCAACTCGCCTACGGCTTCTTGCAGCCTGTTCCGTAGCCAAGCCAGGCCAAGACTGTCAAACGTCAAATCAAAATGGCAGTGCCAGGACGGGGTCGGCGGACTAGGTTGCGACGCATTATGAAGGAACGTTCTCACAGTTGCGACGTAACAGTGGGTTTCGCAATACATGGGGTTCTATGAAAGCTATGCCGGGACTGATGAAGGACAATGAAATTGCCGATAAAATACAGCAGTGAGGAATGTAACAGCGAGGTTCCACTGTAATTGGAATGTAAATGTGAAGAAAGAAAAGGGGACAAAAAGATAACTTGCCACCGGCAGGATCTAAACCTGTGATCTGAAAGTGCATAGAAAATCATTATTATGTGTAATATTGTGTTGCAGAAACGTAGAAGATCATTCCGGGCATCAAAACGGGAATTGCACAATGATTGGTTAGTTTGTGGACCTACCAATGAAAAAGCATGCAGGTGTATGGATGCATAATGGGTACCATGCCAACTAGCAAAAGGAACAATATAGTTGTAGTGGACACTTGGCAACTGCACTTGCGGTAGGAATTCTAGGATAGTTTGAAAGGGCTAATTTACAGGTGCACAGACGTTCCTTTCCTTGAGGCGTGGTTTGTGTGTTCATCGAGAAGCAAAGCTAGTCTAGCTATTGAGGAAGGCGATGTTTTAACAAGGTCTGATTTCGCTGTTGCATTGTATTGTTTAAAACTGAAACTCAAGTGTCTTCCAAGCTTGTCACTGACTGCAGTACATGTGCTGATGTGCGGGAACATTGACGCTGTTGACGGAGGTGTCCAGATAATTTGGTCAGCTCCCGTGGGAGCTTAAGAAGTAAAGTCATCACACCATATTTTTTTATTGTGGTGCATGGCTTTCTCGTTCCACTGAAAGTTAACCACGGTCAAGACAGTAAAGATGCATTGGAATATTAACATAGGGACATAAAAGATAAAATGCATTGGTTATCGAGAAATTGGTCTGGCTGCCTTACTCTGTTCTGAAAGAAAGAGAAGCTGCATTAAAGAAATGGTTACACAAATATTTTGGAAGAGAGTTTTTTTTTTTTGGCATAACATGTTTCTGGGAACCTGCTAGTCCTAATTACAGCACACTACTTGCTGCAGTGCACAACAGGCAACAGTCTGTATCGGATATATCGAACTCGAAGAGGTGCGAAATACCGTATTTACTCGATTCTACCGCGCCCTCGATTGTAACGCGCACCCGATTTCCACCGCGAAAAAAAAAAAAAAAAAAAAAAAAAAAAACGTAAGACATCGACTGAAACGCGCACCCATTTTTTCTCGCTGGCCCGCATGATCACACCACTCGAAAAAACGACTCCTTTCGGGAGCGTCTTCCATTTAAATATGAGGTACGGGCGAAGCTTGTGCCCATCTGACGTGTAACAGAGCATTGCCGTCACTGTAGTTTAACGTGGACCGATGTAAGCACGCGAACTTGCTTTGCCCCCTTCTTCTCGACGGTTGTGGTGCCAGGCATGTCGAAGTAAAGAGGCATCTGATCGTCATTCCCGATTTGCCCAAGCAGGTAGTCGTTGTTGCGCCGCAAGTTTAGGACGAACCTCTGAAAAGTGTGAAGCTTTTCATCGTACTCCTCCGCAAAACTTTTCGCATATGCATGTTCCCCTTCGGAGGGAAAAGCCTTTCCTCTTCATAAAGTTAGTTAGCCAGCACCTGCCCGCTTAAAACTGGCTCCGCATTAGACATTTTTCTAAGACTAATTGCATAGCCCGCACTTGGAGCAGTTCTGCCGTCACGGGCCGCTGTGCTGCTCGCTGCTAAAGCACATACTCGCCGAGCAGCTCTTTAATTTGCGGAAACCGACCCTGCTGTGGTCCACTGAAGTCTTTGCGTAAAGCTTTGCTGTCAAAAATCTTCTGCTTTTGTTTCCGCCGGTCCCGCACGCACGTTTCGGGAACTCCGAACGACCGCGATGCGGCCCGATTTCCGTCCGTTTTTGCACACGCGATGACTTTTCTTTTAAAAGCGGCATCGTGGTGCACTCGAGTTTTTGGAGTCGGCCATTCCACGCCGTCGATGCTAATGCACTACTAGATGACGAACTCCTCAGCACACGTACGAAGTGCCACACATGAGAAACACATAGGCAGAAATGGACGACGCGCCATGCCGACGCACGTAGGGGGCGGCCATTTTAGATTTGCCGATGGCAATAGATTGGCCGTAATTTTTTTGTTCGTACTCGATTCTAACGCGCATGCGATTTATGAACTCGCTTAACCGGAAAAAAGGTGCGCGTTAGATTCGAGTAATTACGGTACATAGTTTTATGTGTCGATAATTCAAAATACAAAGTATGTGTATTTAAGGCCTAAACGAAAACATTTCAGGCCTCGAAAATCGTTGCAAGCGCTAACGTAACGATTCGCTTATAGTATATTGAAGAACAAGGATTGAACTGCGAGTTACTGCACTCTATTTTGCATGAAAATAGTCCGTAAACTTTTCTTGCTTCTTGCGCGTCAAGTTCCAGTCATCTTCAATATCATTGAAGCTTTTCAAATAAGCGAATTCAGCGCTTTTGGCCTCGGCAGCATTGATTCACGTAGAACACCGATGCAAGCTTTGTAGTGCGGCAAAAGGTTGGTTAGTGGTGGCAGCGATGGCCTTGGCATATTCATAACCGCACGGGTACACTTCCGAGGCGCCGGACTGAGGCGCCGGACACGAAACCATGATTTCACCATCGATGCAGTCAGAAACAGCCATGTGGTCATCTGCACTGATAAGTCACTGACTGTTTGAGATGGTGCCCGAAACGCTGATAAGTCGCAGAATTCATCGAGGCACCGTACTTCAGCGGTCATGATGCACATGATGTCGTCACCTGGCCTGGAAAGAAAGTTTACGGCATTCTTTAGTTGACGTTGCTCCTAGCATCAGTTAAAATGTTTATCGCTACGTGCAGGTTAACATTCTGTTCAACTTTCAAATGAGGATTTATCATAAACTTAGCGAGAAGTACACAAGTCCGGAAAATGCAAAAGACAACGTTGAGTTTCCACAGTTGACATGTTGGTGATATCGATGTCCCTTGTCTCTTCCTGGCTGGCTGCCGTCGCTTTCAGCTGCTTTAATGCGAAAAGCTAGAAAAAAGGTTAGCCTCTCAGACATGTATAATAAAACCAAAAACACTAAAAATACGTCGCAAGGTTGCACATCTCGAAAGCCATGCTTTTAAGGCTTGTGTGCCATTGTGTGCTAACATACAAGGAAGAGAATGCGAACACTGCAACGAGATCATTGAGTCATTTTGCATTCTCATTTTGGTGTGCTCAGCAAACACTATGCCCGCGTGTTTAGACCTGCAGATCATGCATCAAACATATTGGTGCACTCGCAAGCCCCGCGCAATGAACCAGATCAGTGCAATAGAATAATACCGATTTTTCGTCACCCGCACGTGCAAAAGGTTCGGAACTTGTTAGAACATGGCCGAAAATTGATCAATATTTGAGAAATTGATCAATATTTGAAAAAATGCACACTCTGGCCTGTTGTAAGGGAGTTCGATGTATGGGTGCACGATTCCGATACTTTTGCATGGGAAATTCAAGGGGATTTCTCTACCGTTCGATATAATTAATAATACGATATATTAGAGTTTGATATATCTGGGAGCAACTGTATTTTCAATATGTTTATTACTGACCTGTCTCAGTTTTGGTTTTGGTAGAACTCTGAGAATGACAAGCTACTCAGTACAGCCAAGTTTATCTAGTGCGCGCAACATGGTAAACAGACTTGGTCACATGAGCACACTGAACCCACAGTTGATTGTGCACTTATGAGCGCTGTGTTTTTTTGCCTGCCACACATGCTACGCAATGTCCTAGCCGTTATTGTTGTCTTTGTGATCTGGTGGTGCGACAGTTTTGTTGAGGCTGGCACACTTTCCACGTGCATGGACAAAAACTTGCGAGCATTCACTGAAAACATGTAGGACATGTGTAAATTGTTGCATATTGGCAAGAAATATATTCACTGTGTGGTCGACGCAAAATTTTTCTTGGACCCTGCCACGGCATGCTAAACTACCAGTTTGTGCCAGCCAGTGGTACCCTCGTTAGCCGCACCGTCAGGACAGAAATAGGTCTAGCGCTGCCTCTTATCAGTTTTCTACTACTGTGCAGTGCATTGTTAGTTCGTTGTTTTCTCACGTAACGTTCTTCAGTAAAGCCGTCAGCACTTTTACTTTGATATGCATAATCGCAGCAATCGCAATGTCCCACTGCGTGTAAAGCAGTGTCTGTGGAGTGTTTTGCCTGATAAAAGCTAAAGTGGTATACAGGTTCCTGAGATGTAATGATGTAGCTATAACTGACAGGAAGTGTGTTGCGTTATAGAAATAAAGATGAGAAATTTTTGCGTCTTGTGAGAAATTAGACAGGCTATCATTAAGGGAGTTATGTTTGTTGGGCGTAGTGCTGCTGCCTAATATCTCTGAAAGTAGTGGAAATGTTGTGAAAAGGCTCCGGCCATTTGCCTGGCGGGGTCTTCAAGCTTTTGTGGTCGACTGTATGTTTGTGTCCACTACTATTACGCGTAATTCAAGCATGTTACATTAGGTACAGTATGATGTGGGGGAGAATTTTTTCATTTACTTTGTTTTATTCATTGTTTTATTACAGAAGCATTATATCAAATTTGCACTGGGGTATCAAGAAAAATCCTACTAATTATTATTTTCTTTTTCCATTTTAGGTACATCGCAGCAGGTGTGGAACTAACATGGGACTACAACTACGATGTTGGAAGTGTGCCTGAACGTGTGATGTACTGCCAGTGTGGGTCAGAAGAGTGCAGAGGACGGTTAATATGAACCAAAGTGCTCACACAGACTGATGGATGACAATTGTATAAAGACAGAAGTGCTGCTGCCCATGTTCAGGCGCGTGTATGTGGTGGACGTTCCCATGTCAAATTCCTACATTTTGTGTTATTCTTTTTTTTTTTTTGGTTGCAGCTCATTTAACTGCCATTATGTTCCTTGTCTCATTCACGTCCCTGTTAATATACCTGACCTTGTGTTCCAACACGGAAATGAGTTGTACATAAATAAATTCAATGTTGACAACCCTTTCTTTTGTGTTCGATGTGGTTATTCTGTCGTTGGATTACCTGTTATGTGGACCAGAAGCAGATTTTTCTGCAACTGCCACAGGCATTTTCATGATAACTATGGCAATGTTGATCGTGCTGCGTTAACATACTTGTGAGTGCATCACCATTGATATGTTCATAGAGATGACAAATCCTGTTCAGAAATTCACATGGGCATGTAGAATTAACATACATGTTATATGTGGTGGAACAGACCTTCACCAGATCTCATGCAAGATTGCTTACGGCAGAGGCCCCATGATAAATCTAGTGAAGCAATTTTTCATTTCACTACAGCTTTACCTCCTTGTTTTCCTTTCCACTGGCCTACAAGACAAAAACTTCACTGTGGTACTTGAACATGTATAGCGCATTACGGGGAAGAAGAAACGGCCGAGCATACCGACACAAGAGGACGGAGCGCTCTGTCCTCTTGTGTCGGTCTGCTCGGCCGTTTCTTCTTCCCCGTAATGCGCTATACATGTTCAAGTACGATGAACCAACTCTCCCAATCTTCAACACTCGTCACTGTGGTCCTGTAGTAATGGTAGCTCCAGCTGTCACGCCATGCTCTAAAAGCTATGCAGCTGTGAATACACTATATTCAAAACCATCCAATGCGAGTGCAACGTAGTGAACTGTGATATTTTACACACACTTTTGGAGCCGCCCATCGAAATCTTGCATAGCATTGTGCGTCTAGCTCCAGCTATCGTGCGCTGCTCTGAAAGTTTTCGAACGCCTAAGATATTAGGTTCAAACCACTTTAGTGGGAGTGTAACATTGTTAACAGTGTGATACGGCACCCACACACACTTTGGGAGGTTTGCTGCCCGAAGTGAGAATGACTGTCGGCAATAGCCTTGACAACTGATCGCATGAATGGCCTTATTCTAATGTACACTGATGTAAAATCGATTCATTTTTTGAAGAATGCTAAATAAAAACATGAATACAAACAAGATTGAAGAATTTCGCTCCTTTATGACAAATTTGTAATATGTAATGACAAAGCTTTTCTAAGCGAGAAAGTTGCTCCAACGTTGGTCGTTATTCAAAAGTTGGGTTATGAAAAACATTTGAATACAACCAGGCGTTTAGGAAATCTGCTCAAGAAAGGATTCTTAAAGTAAGTGATTTCTGTGGCATGGAAATTCTGCAACTGAAAAATTGCTGCAAAGATTACTGTTATCCTACAATTGCTTACACGACGGGTGCATTTCAATAGAGGCGAAATGGTAGTGGCCCGTGTACTGTGCGATGTCAGTGCACGTAAAAGAGCATCAGATGCTCGAAATTTTCGGAGTCCTCCACTACGGTGTCTCTCATAATATTATTGCGGTTTAGAGACTTAAAGCTCCACCTCTTATTATCATTTTTTACTTGCTTGACCGTTTACTTCTCCAAGTTTGCCACAGTTTGTGTGCTTTTAGTAAAAAAAATTATTGCTTAAAAATAATGAAGCGCCTTCATTTCTTTTCATGTTGTGTGGCACTTTGCAGTTTTGAAGAATGTACATAAACTTGACAATTTTTCAGTTGGAGTGAGGCACAGTATCTTGCAATACAAAGGGACATATATTCGCTGTATGCATAGCCACAATGCAATACACAATATGACCTGCAGGCTTAATTGTATGGTAAGGTTTTCAAGACTGCTGAAAATTAGACATTCAAGGAATGAAAAAGAGGTTCATGGGGCTGTATCACCATATTGGCTTGTTCGTTCTTTGTATTACCTCTGTTTTATTTCTGATCTATCGTTTACCAATTGGTTCTTTGTTTAAACATCGTCATCTAAATAATCAGGGTGGTAAAACAACTCCACATCACAAATGAGGCACCGTCCGTTTCATGGCCGATACCCCGTGGTGGGTTGCGCCAGGACTCTGAGGAACAACCAACCAACCAACCACTTCGCAGTTGAAAACAAGGACGGAAGCTTGCGCTGCACTTGGCGAACATAGCACTTACAGAAGGTAGTTAAGGAGGTTAACGCAGTAAATAAGGGTACACCGTAATTGGGGGGGGGGGGTAATTCTGGCATAAACCGAGTCAAATGTGAGTTGAAAAATAAAGAATCAAATGCCAGGTAACAGAATTTGTGACTAGGTTTTGTGACTAGTTGCTGAATGAAAAATGTTTGAGTGCATTGAAGCCCGGTGATTCCAGTGTGAACCCTTCTGTACCTGACAAGTCACGGCGCGTAGAGCCAGTGGTTACGCCTAGGTACAAATAGAAGAAACAATTCAATCTGATGAGAAGGTCGATTTCCATTAAGCGCACAGCTGTTTAAGCTATCGGTAGCTGGCGCTTTCTCGTGCTAAACTCACAAGATGGTGATGCACCACAGTTTTCGACAAGTCCCACTACAGGGTACAGCAAGTGCGAGCGTTCATAGAAACCTCCATAGATTTTAGGAAACTCTATGAAAAACTCTGTTCGGCAAAGTAAAACATGTGAAAGAGATAGGGTGAAAGAGAAAGAATGCGATATCAAGAAACAGGCGCAAAAAAAAGGTATATATAAAAAAACGAGGGCAAGCAAGACAGTGATAAAGAAAAAAAAAAGAGCGAGAATCGGAGAAATGGTAGGATAGTGATACGAGAGATAGGAAGAAAGACAAATAAAGAGATATAAGGAAGGCCGCCAAGCTCCGCTTTTTCGTCAGGTTTTGCACCGAAAGCCGCACCCCGATCACCGGCGGGCCGGACTAGATACAGGCCACGCTTTTGATACAGGTCGAGATTTTTTTAGTCGTGATTGGCTGCTCTACGCACGCTGCAAGATGGATCCATTCGCCATTCATAAATCTGATCACGCGTGGGGTAATTTCCATTCATAAATCTGGGTACGCTTGGGGCACCGTGGCTTGGGGTTAGGAGTGCGCCGTGGGTAGCTGTTGTGGCAGGCAAATAAGGTAGCTTGCTTACGAGGCAATGACAGATTCTAAAGCGAAATATAGCTCAGGAATTCTTCTCAGAGCCAGACGACAATGCGGTCTGTTTATAAAAAATTCGCATTGCAAAATTTACTTACGGCAAATTTTGTATAGAAAAGTATTATAATAGCTGTTAAAACATGCTGCTTTCGTCAGACGAGGTGGCCGAGTGGTTAAGGCGATGGACTGCTAATCCATTGGGCTCTGCCCGCGTGGGTTCGAATCCCATCCTCGTCGCAAGTAATTTTTTTAAACTAAGTTTTCATTATTTATTTTTTGAAATAATGTTTTAATAGGCATTTGCTCTTTCTTTCTTATTACGTCGAGAAAACGATACTAGAGGAGTGGATTACGAACAAACGTGAAGTCACCGGCAGCATCTGGCACCGCGCGCGGTCTGCGGTGCAGCCGTGCAACCGACGAACATTGCCGTGAAAGCGGCAAATTGTCTATACAGTTGTGGTTTTTTTGCGTTTACAAAAGAATGTGTGCTTCGCATGCTATTTCTTTCTTTATTGTGGGCTCATCGCTTCACAAGACTTCCGCATCGTATCCTCTATTTTCTCTTGTACACACAATATGCTCTATATGTAAACTATGTATACCGGCTTTTCATGGCTATCAGGGAGTTTTGCGGGACGTCAGATCCTGTAGAGCCCTCTTCAATATGTCAAAGTCTTTCATTTCGAATGATACGACAACACTCAGCTCACAAGAACAAAAAAAATCAGAACGTTACCAATACCAAAATCGCTGAAGGTTTCTTGATTGTAGCGCCACATATAGGCGAAAAAACAAACTTATAATTGGCCCTTTATCTCGTTTCGTGTTGCACAGTGTCCGCTGCGTTAAATGGGAAATAGGGACACCTGCGTTTACGGTTTAAGAAGAAGAAGACGTTAAGTGACAAGAAGGAGGGCAAGTCGGCGTGCAGAGCGGGTTTCTAGCCTGCTACTCCTCACGTGGGTAAGGGGGTAAGCAAGAGGAAGAGGGAGGAATGATGAGAGGTAACTGTGCACAAAGAGTCACTGCCACACATGGAGGGAGGAAAAACTTTTTTTCCTGCATGCTGCCACATCACTCGACACACTGTCCCGCGCAGGATAGGGCGCACATGCATGCTCAAGAGACGAGCATCTAAACCTGTCTCGCTCAGAAATGGATTTTGCAGATCTCGGGGTAACTCGGCCAGTGACGTTAACAGAAGCAGTGCGGTGCGTGCGGTGTTCTTTGTAGTTGCTCGTAGATGGCGCGTCGGCTTGCTGACCCCAAAAGATTTGATTGTGGAGCGCCGGTGTTTCGAAGTCTCGCCACGATTGAAGGGCAGCCTGTTGCAACCGCGGGAGTTGGTACGGCCAGATACCCCTATTTTTCCCTTCCTCCGCAATAGTGTCTGTACATTCGCTAAAGATCAATCAATAAACGAACTTCTTTTCATACAGAAGTATCGGTTTCGTGGTCGCAAGCCGGTACTTTCCCAGCTCTCCCAACTGCACCGGTGCTTTTTTGTAAACTCCCTACGTTGAGCAGAGAAGACAACTCATTAACTGTGTGGGTGCGCACTAGCGTTTGTTACAACCACAAAGGAATGAAAGATAGGAGAGGCCCTGATGTCACTCGCTGTGATGAAGCCAGAAGTCGGCCATATTGACTGGGCAAATTCTCCTCTCTTGTTTGCATCCGAATGTAAAGCAGGAGGCGTGACTCTCTCTCAGGCTCGGAAAGCACGTGGGCTGGACAGCGTGCGTGTCGTGACGATCCGAAACTAATGAAACGGGGCTCAACACTCTGGGCCGGCGCGACACCTTCGGCGAAATCATTTCGTCCGAGTACGAACAGCGAGTAATGGCTCGCTGACATCGAAGCAAGTACAATTGAGAGAACGCGCGCTAGATGCACTGACAACGGCGAGTGTTTTCACGTCATTAGTTCAGCAACTGTACAGACAACGCAATCGGTCGTGCGCCTTCTTCTACGGCTGCATTCCGACACGAGGCCGCCGCAGCGCCCGGCCACTGCGCCCGTGTTCCGCGTGAAACT